ACACACACACACACACACACACACACACACACACACACACACACGAGCCCAGACACACACACACACACACACTCTTCCACATCCTTTAAAATCAATTCTGTACAACCACCATCATTGTACTTCCTCATCTTTTCTCCCTAAGTTCAAGATAAAATTTTTTCTCTACTGCTCCCCACGTAAAGAAGTCATCATCATTCAATCCTTGTCTTTCTCAAAGATATTCTTTTCATGCCAGATTATGTCTCTTTAAATAAACACCACATTTCTCATAGCATAATACTACAGGAAACCTGATAGCTAAATTCTATGGTTCTAAACTAAATTCAGCTAAGAAATACAATCAGAATGTTCCTTATAAGACAGACTTTGACTCGCTTACTTTGGACACATCATCAAGAATGACTAATCACTAGAAAAGGACATTGTGTTTGCTAAAGCAGAGGACCGATGAAAATGAGGGATACTCTCAGTGAGACAGACTGACGCAATTGCCACAACAATGGACTCAAACATACTAACAATCATGAACGTGGCGCAGGACCGGGCAACGTTTCATTCTGTTATGCATTAGGTCATCAAGAGTCGGCAACTAACAACCACAAGCTAAACTTTAGGAAGCCCCAGAAATGTGCTCACTAACCACCTGACGGTGGGTGAAGACACAGAGGCCCTCTGCACTGCAGGAATTGCTTAGGTAGGATTTAAACCCATAATTCTATGGGATTCAGAATTAACCATTCCCTTTCAAGCACTCATAACCACGTGAAAGAATGATGTGGAGAACACGAAATATTATAAAAGATACCTATAAAGTTATCCTAAGAAACAGCTATACTATATGTACACTGGAACATAAATTTTATATTTCTACTACACAATCACCTCATACGCATGTGAAAGCTGGACAATAAACAAGACCAAAGAAGAACTGATGCTTCTGAATTATGGTGTTGGCGAAGAATACTGAATATACCATGGACTGCCAGAAGGAACAGATCTGTCTTGGAAGAAATACAGTCAGAATGCTCCTTAGAAGGGAGGATGAAGAGACTTTCTCTCATGTACTTTGGGCATGTTATCGGGGAGAACAGTCCCTAGAGAAGGACATTGTGCTTGGTAAAGTAGAGGGTCAGCGAAAAAGAGGAAGACCCTCAACAAGATGGACTGACACAGTGGCTGCCACAATGGGATCAAGCATAACAACGACTGTGAGGATGGCGCAGGATTGGGCCGTGTTTCATTCTGTTGTACATTAGGTCGCTATGAGTCAGAACCAACTCAACGGCCCCTAACAACAACAACAATTACACTACATAATGGTCAAGTACCTTAAAGGGAAGGCGTTATCAAAGGAGTCAACTAAACTGTAGGAAGAATATTCATCGGTCAGGTTGTATTAACAGACTTGAAAAGTATTTAATTCTAGAGTCTGACGGAAAATATATAGTGGTAATAGCAATATATTTATTGGACCATCACTATAACCCAAAATCACTATGAAGTGTTGTTTTACGTGGTATCCCACAACAATTAAATAAGGGATGTATTTTTAACCGGCCCTATTTCATAGATGAGGTTACATGGTCACTGCAGCCACTACAGTTCCCTTCTTGTGTATGTTCCTACATACACTGTGGATGGAATGGTGACGATAGTGGGTTGAATACCAGTTAACAGTTGCTGTGAAGTTGACTCCAACTCCTGGTTACCGCACGTGTGTCAGAGTAGAACTGTGCTCCGTAGAGTTTTCAACAGTTGATTTTTCGGAAGTAGATAACCAGGTCTTTCTTCCAAGGTGCCTCTGAGTGGACTCAAACTGCCACCCTTTGATTAGCAGCCATGCACTTAAGCATCTGCACCACCCAGGGACTCCAGTAGCTTTAGTACCAGTCCCCCAAAAGATATGTTCATGTCCTAATACCCAGGACCTATGAATGTGACCTTGTTTGATAAAGGGTCTTTGCAGATGTAATTTAGTTAGAGATTTCATGAAAAGATCATCCCGGATCAGGGTGGGCCCTAAATCCAATGACCTAAAGCCTATTGGCATAGGGTTGAGATCATCACGAGAGTTACCTCATAATAACTCATAGTGACCCTACAGGACAGAGTGGAAGTGCCCCATAGAGCTTCCGAGGGTGTAATCTTTACAGAAACAGACTGCCACATCTTTCTCCCGCTGAGTGGCTGGTGGGTTTGAACCGCAGACCCCTTGGTTAGCAGCCGAGTGCTTAACCACTGTACCACCAGGTCTCCTTACATCCAACGACAGGAATCTGTGTAAGAGAAAGGCAGAGGGAGATTTGAGGCAAGAGAAGAAGGCCATGCAAAGATGAAGGCACAGACAGGAGTGGAGAGATGCAGGCACATGCCAAGGAATGTCTGGAACCACCAGAAGCTGGAAGAGGCAAGGAAGGATTCTCACCTAGAACCATCAGAAGTTGGAAGAGGCCAGGAAGGAGTCTCACCTAAAACCTTCACAGAGAGCATGGCCCTGCTGACATCTTGATTTCCAACTTCTAACCTCCAGAACTGGGAGACAGTAAATTTCTGTTGTTTTAAGCTACCCAGTTGGTGGTGCTTTGTTATGGCGGCACTAGGAACCAAATGCAGTAACAGAGAACCACACACAGTGGCAGCAGCTGCACACAAGTTTTGGAAAGTGGATTCTGCTTCACATTAGCAGAGCAGGAACAGCTATTAAAGCAGTATCTCATTCACATGTGATCCTCCAACAGAGTAGGTAGGTGACCTCAAAAAGGATAAGCAGAGGTAGGAATTTGGCACCAGAATTTAAGAAGGGTGCTGTTTCATCTTTATCTAATCAGCTCTGGCTAATAGAAAGGACAAGGAGCAGTGGTGGCACAGTGGTTAAGTGCTTGCCTGCTAACCAAAAGGTTGGTGGTTTGAACCCACCAGCCACTCCATGGGAGAAAGATGTGGCAGTCTGCTTCTGTAAAGATTTACAGCCTTGGAAATCCTAATGGGAAGTTCTACTCTGTTCTATAGTGTCACTATGAGTTGGAATCGACTACTCGACAGTAACATGTTTGGTTATTTTTTTTTGGTATAGTCCCTTGACCCCCAGCTTCCAGGTGGCTTCTAGGGGCTATTCTCTTTGAGTCTGTGCCTTTATATATTTAAGTCCTAACACCACATAAAAGACTAAGATTAGAGGGAACAAGGCAGTATTAATCAGAATTCTTCCTTTGTGTAGTGCAATTAGAATTCATAAGAGTGTCCATAAGAGATTCAAATCAGAATCTAGATTGCCACTAGATTCATAAGAAATTTGTGGTCCAGTGAATTGCTTTTATATAGCCTTTCTAGCCATGGTCTTGTAACTCCCACAAAATGATTGGCAGGGACTACGAAAATAAGGTGTGTAAAACCCTTGCAGGTATTGGACAGTTTACTATGACTATGCAAATAAGGTGACTGTGGCCTATCAAGGTGATTGATTGGGGTTGCCATCATGCTAGGCTTAAAAGCACTAATCCCACAGGGGTTCAGGGGGACCTCATTATTATCAAAAAGAGTCTCAAGCAGAGCATGTCCTTTGGACCTGCACTGAGAACCTCCTAGACCCAAAAGAAAGAGTGAAAGTTGAAGACAGTGAGAGACAGCAGCAGTGAGTGCCCAGCCTACAGAGCAAGAGCTGAGCACCTCCTGGCAGGAAGCTTGCCTTTGGAGCTAAAAGAGCTAGAAGACTTGCCCATGCAAGGCAGAGGCCTGAGTGTGCCCCATGTAGGGGTTACCTCGGAAGATCCTGTGCAGGGTCTTCATACAGCAGGGCGGAGCTGGACGCCTCTGGGCAGGAGGCTTGCCAGAGAAGCTAAAAGAGCTGTAACGGTTGTGCAGGGCAAGAGAAGCCTGAGTGTGCTCCATGGAGGGGTTGCACGCCTCCCCCCCACTGGGGTAGCGTGGCGGCAAAGGAGTGCAGGCCCGGGTAGTGTGGTTGGAGCTGACAGCAGAGGCTTAGAAGGGCCCACAGCAGCAGAGGCTCAGGAGATCCTGTGCAGCGGTCTACCTGCTGGCAAGGCAAGGCCCAGTGAGGCTCAACGGCACAGCAGAAGCCTCAGGAGCTGTTCAGGGCCTCAAGCAGCGTAGTGGTGGTAACCAGAAGCAATGGTGACATGAACACAGCAGCTGACCTGAACCATGGCAGGGCTGCTCAGCGACATAAGAACAGACGTGGGTAATCTGGGGAAGGGTAAGTGGTTCTCCTCTGGGAATCTGTTGTTATTATTTAATGTTTGCTTTCTACAAACAATAATAATGGCTTTCACTTTGCCAACACTGTGTAAGTGTCTCGTGTATGCGGCTTGACCACAGATGAGCGTAGCACTCGTAGAATGGTTGCTACCAGTGGGTGTACGTGCCTCATTCCTAGCGGTCTGATGGCTGCCTGGAAGTTTGAGGCACAGCCTGTCTGCACGTGCAATGCAGAGAGACAGACATGTACATACAAAATTCAAGTCAGAAACGAGAATTTAGTGGACCACATTTTCCTAATCCCAGACTATTAATAAACCAGAAATGACAGGAGAAAGAGGGAATTACTATCTTAATCTAGACCTTTTGCAGTAACATTTCCATCTCATTTATTCTGTGCATCCCCTCTTTTCAGTTGCAGAAACCAAATAAGGATTAATCCAACTACAGAGTTAGCAACGTAATCCACAGAAGGTCAACTGTATTTAGGTCAATTACCTTCCAAGAGGGTGTTCTTTTAGACTGGGTTTTTTTTTCCTAGTATCAAATATTCTTTAAGAAGTATTCTGTTGGTTGAATTTCATGCAGATTTTTATATTTTATATACTGTAAAATGAGATAATTCAGAAGGCTTTTTTAAAAATTAGAGTTCACTATGATATAAAAAGTTCTTACCTCCTTGGGGAAAAAGGGTCCAAGAATAGAATAGCACATACTGGATCCCAAGTTAATGGATGCTGCCAATATCAGTGTAAAAAGCTGTTCTCTTGAAAGCCGCCTGGGGGCCTCTCTTGCAGTTCCCAGAGGGTTATCACCTTAAATGCAAACATGCTACAAATATACGCCTGCAGGGTCCCAGGCGAGCTGAGCTGTAGTGGCACAGTGATTAAGTGTTTGGCTGCTAACCAAAAGGCTGGCAGTTTGAATCCACTAGCCGCTCCTTGGAAACCCTATGGAGCAGTTCTACTCTGTCCTATAGGGTCCCTATAAATTGGAATCGACTTGACTGCAACAGGTTTTTTAGATTCCCAGAAGGAGTCCCTGGGCGGTGCAAACAGGTAAGTGCTGGGAAGGTTGGCAGTTCGAACCCACCCAGAGGCACCTGGGAAGACAGACTTGGCCATCTTCTTCAGAAAGGTCACAGCCTTGACAACCCTATAAAGTGCAGTTCTACTCTGACACAGACGGGGTCACCACGACTCTGAATCGACTCGGTGGCAACTAACAACAACAAAGGTCCCTGAGTGGTGTAAATGGTTTGCTCTTGGCCACTAACCACAAATTTGGTAGTTTGAACCCACCCAGCAGTGTTGCAGAAGAAAGGCCTGGCAATCTGCTTCTGTAAGGATTAAAACCAAAAAACCAGACCCGTTGAGCCGATGAATCAATTACGACTCATAGAGACCCTATAGGGCAGAGCAGAATTGCCTCATAGTTTCCAAGGAGTGGCTGGTGGATTCGAACTGCCGACCTTGTGGTTAGCAGCCAAGCTCTTAACCACTACGCCACCAGCCAAGAAAACCCTATGGAGCAGTTCTACACTGTAACACACAGGGTCGCTATGAGTCAGAATCAATTCAATGGCAAGGAGTTTTGGAACTGAGACTAATGATGGCAGTACAAAACTGTCATTTCCGTGTACAGGAGAACATTTGCTGAGCTAAGGGCTGTTTTGAAAATAGTACATCTGATCAAATGTAACACAATCTCTGTACATAGCTGCAATTTTGAAATGTTCTATTCCTTATTAGAATTTCAAAGTAGAATTTATCAAACCATCTGATCTGTCTTGCCTTCACCATAAGGTCTATTTATCTTTAATAAATCCCTTCAAGAAGGATGTAGCAGCAGGGTGATCCCTAAAAGGTATTTATCTGTTCTCTATAGTATAACGTCCCTTATTGTTTTTTCAAGTTACTACCTTCATATAAGGAGCCCTGGTGGCGAAATGGTTAAGGCTCAGCTGCTAACCAAATGGTAGGTGGTTCAAACCGCACTTCCCCCCCACTCCCCCCTCACCCTGCAGTGGTTCTGAGAAAAGAACTGGCGACCTGCTCCTGTAAAGATTACAGCCTAGGAAACCGTATGGGGCAGTTCTCCTCTGTCCTGTGGGGTTGCTATGAATCCGAATCGAGTAGACGGCACACAACAAGGTTCATAACGCAACGTGGACTCAGAAACGTTTTAAGCATGTATTGTTAGCTGTTTATTAAGCATTCCAGGGCAGTATTGAAGTCAACTGAAATGTAAATCATTCCATCGGGGAATTCATAGCTAGAATGATATTTGAAAACAAGTTCCACAAATCCATAAATAAATATATTTTTAACACTGATTACTGGTCTTTTGCATCAATTAACACTTATCCCCAGGGCTAAATCTTCATTCAAATTAACGATACCACCAGGTAAATTACTCAGAGCATCCAAACATCCATCAAATCCATTAGCCATTTTAACATTAAACGGTCATGAGGGGGGAAAAAAAACGGTAAGAAAAATTATATTAGATTTGCTCTATTTTTTGTCAGTTGCCATTGCAGTCCAGGAAAAGAAAATCTGGGCAACAGGAATCTTTGTAAAGTAGATGAGGAAGGGAAAATGAGGGAAAGTTGAAAAGAGGGGGGAGCAACAGGAGGTTCTAAAACTGAATGTTTTACGCTTTTCTAATGGCATACTGATTTGAATGTATTCTTAAACACACAGCTATAGAAATGAACGCCATTAGACGATATCCAATCCCCGAAGTTTAACCCCTCCCAGAGGGTACAGAAAGCTGATCACACATTCAGGCCCCAGCCTTTCTGAATCTCTCGGAAACAAAGCAAACTAAAGCTAATTCAGTCTTTGATACGGAGACAGGATCGATGCCCCTGAGCGCACCCAGACTCGCCGCCCCCGGGTCCTGGAGGGCCTGGGCCCTCCGGCTCCCCTGGCGCTTCCATGCGGGTGCGCGGACTCCAGCGTCGCTGCTCCCGGGGCCAAGCTCTCTTGGACTCGACCTCGAACGAGAGGACGAGCGAGAGCGCGGACAAGCCGGTAGCATCTGTTCAGACAGGTGCCGGAATCCCCGATTCCCTACAGGCAGCTGTCAGGCCTCCAGCTACCGGCAAACGGCTAGGACACCGATCCACCCCGGGAGTCCGCGGCCGGCGGCGGAGTGGCGAAGAGGTCAGGGGCGGGGCGAGGATGTGCCGGGGTCGGGGCTATTACCTGTAACTCACGCTGGCCTTTTTTATTACATATGAGAAAAGGAAAAAGAAAAAGAAAAAAGACTCTTATTCCATGTAGTTTAGCCCCTTCAACCTTAAAATGAGTGCAATTTATTCTCAACGAAAGTAAGAAAGGACGCTTGTGTAGATACAAAAAAGGTTGATGACTTCGGGTGCCTCGGAGTCCATGCCGGCTCATACCGACCTCTTGTGACAGAGTAGGATTTTCTGGGTTGTGCTCTTTAGGGAAGCAGAAAAGGTAGGGAGTACCTAAATTCAAAGACACAAATATCAGAAGATGAGGTAAATGCGGTAGTGTTTGTATTCGCTGAAGCCGTACATTAGGAAACTGGTAATGAATTAAATGATTCCAAATATCAGGAGTTGATAAATATTTGCAAGAATTATTATGAATGTTGAGGAGGCATGGTGGAGCGGCTAGGAGTATGACCCCTGAAGGCAAATGCCTGGGTTTCGATCCAGGGCATTTACTAGCTGCGTGTGACCTTTGGGCAGGCGACAAAGTCAGCTTCCCCTTCTGTACAATTGAGATTATAATGCCCGCACATATCTTGTGGGATGGCTATTAGTATTAGTGATCAGGTGTAAAATGCTTGGCATGCGATTGGCAAGCCAACGTGATGGCTGCTGCTGCCTTGCTCTCAGTTTTTTCTTGTTTTTTTTTTTTTAAATTGTAGTTGAGGTGAAGGTTTACAGAACAAATAGTTTCTCATTAAACAGTCAGTACACGTATTGTTTTATGACATTGGTTAACAACCCCACGACATGTCAACACTCTCCCTTCTCGACTTTTTGTTTTTTGGTGAAAATATACATAGCCAAAGATACACCACTTCAAAAATTCCTACATGCACAATTCAGCGACATTGATTACGTTCTTCCAGTTGTGCTGCTATTCTCACTTTAGATGAAGATTTACAGAACAAAATAGTTTCTCATTAAACAGTACACATGTTGCCCTATGACAATGGTTAACAACCCCACTACATGTCAACACTCCTTACTCAACCTTGGGTTCCCTGTCACCAGCTTTCCTGTCCCCTTCTGCCTTCTAGCCCTTGTCCCTGGACTGCTGTGCCTCATTAGTCCCATTTTGTTTTATGGGGCTGTCTGATCCCCGGCTGAATGGTAAACCTTGGAAGTGACTTCACGGCTGAACTAAAAGGGTGTCTGGGGGCCATACTCTCGGGGTGTTTCCAGTCTCTTTCAGGCCAGTAAATTTGGTCTTTTTGGTGTGTGTTAGAATTTTGTTCTACATCCTTCTCCAGATCTGTCCAGAACCCTCTGTTGTGATCCTGGTCAGAGCAGTCAGTGGTGGTAGCCAGGCACCATCTAGCTGTACTGGACTCGGTCTGGTGGAGGCCTTGGTAGCTGTGGTCCATTGGTCCTTTGGACTAATCTTTTTCTTGTATCCTGTTCTCTTCATTCTCCCTTCCTCCCAAAGGGGTGAGACCAGTGGAGTATCTTAGATGGCTGCTCACAGGCTCTTAAGACCCCAGATGCTACTCACCAAGGTAGAATGTAGAACATTGTGTTTATAAACTGTGTTATGCCAATTGAGCTACATGTTCCCCGAGACCATGGTTCACACTCAGTTTTCTGGTAGGAAAACAGAAATGAAAATAAGTGAAATTTATTTGCACCTTATTTATTTTCTGGGAGGGCTGAAGTTTCAGAGACTGGGAAATTCTTGATTTGGGACCAAGGCAAAACAAAAAGACTATTGAGTTACTGCCTTGGGCCAGGCACTGTGAATTTAAAGGTAAATGAGCCTCTGCCCTCAAGTAGCATACCTCCTTTCAGTAGATAAAACAGACCAAAACCAAACCAAACCCATTGCCATCGAGTTGTTAAAACAGACATTGATCAATAATTTACTAGAATGCAATGGGTTAAAAGCTGTCATAGAAGCACATTGGAATAACTGTTGACTTTGTCTGAGGAAGTCCAGGATAGCTTCCTGAGGAAGTGATGTTACCTAGGGTCTTGAAGGACATGAAAAAATTTGTGTGTGGGCAAGTCGATAGGGAGAGTCTTTAGAGCCATTCTAAACAGAAGGATTTGCTCCAGCAAAGGCTCCTTAAAGCAGCCTTCCAGAATCTTTATGATCTGACCACTGCCAGCTTCTCCAGTTTCATTAAACTCCATGTTCCTGTTCTCTCTCTAATTTAACATCAAACTATAAAGGGAAATTTTGTTGAATTATTTCTTTGATGATTACTTTCCCTTTTTTCTGTTCTTTTTCTGGAATGTTCTTTATACAGATGTTGGGTCACTTTGACTGGTTCTCTTATTTTTTACTCTTTTTATCTCCTACTTTTCTCTTTCTCTTTTTGCTTCACTTTATAGGAAGTTTCCCCAAACTTATTTTCCACTCCTTCAACTGAATATTTATTTCTGTTGTCATCTCTTTCCCTCTATCCCCATTCCCATTCCTCCCCCCATTATCAACCATTCTTGCATGTTTATGCATATCTTTTGATTTGCATATGTTCTCATAAAATGTGTGTTCTTTTGTGTCCGTGTATTTTTTAATTTACATAAGGTTATTTGTGATATATAAAATATATATTCATGTTTCTATCTTCCTCTCTACTTCCAAGCTCTACTTTCAAGATGGTCAGTGTTACCATTGAATACATTACTGTATTATTTTCCTGTGGCTGCTGTAACAAATTACCACAAACTTGGTGGCTTAAGGCAATAGAAATGTATTCTCTCATAGTTCTGGAGGCGAGAAGTTCAACATCAGTTCACTCAGCCTAAATCAAGGTGCCAGCAGGGGCATGCTCCTTCTGGAGGCTCTGTGGGAGAATTTGGTCCTTGCCTCTGCCAGCTTCCTGTGGCTGTCAGCATTCCTTGACTTGTAGCCACATCAGTCCAGTCTCTGCCTCCCTGGTCACATTGCCTCCTCCACTTCTCTGTGTGTGATCTCCCTCTGCCACTCTCTAATAAGGATACTTATTGGTATTTAGGGCCCACCCAAATCCAGGCTGATCTCCTCAGCTCAAGATCTTTAACTTAACCACATCTGTACCAACCTTTTTCCAAATAAGGTAACATTAGCAAGTTCCAGAGACTAGGATATGAACATATCTTTGGGAGCCATTGTTAGCCTACCACAATTATCTACTCATATTTTTATATGATCATGTAAACATATATACACATATGGGACTTTGTTTCGTTACAAACCAAAATAGAATAATATGGTCTCTGGTTGAATGCCTTCTCCTCAGAGAAATTCATTCTTATCCCCTTATCCAAACTACATCCCAGGTAACCCTTTGTCCCTTCATACTTCTTTATTTTTCTTCTAAGTATTTATATCAGTTAGGGTTTTCTGTTGCTAATAAAAGAAACAACTTTTGCTAATTTAAGTAGAAAATGAATTTATCATTGATTATTAGGTAGCACATAGAATCACCAGGAGGACCACACACACCACTTATAGACTACAGTGTCCAAAATCACACCACACCAGTGGTCCAGCACATATACCTACAACACTGCTGGACATACATACTACAGCATGTACTGCCAACACCACCAATGTTAGGCGCTAGACCCTGTAAATAGAACCTCGTCCCTACTCCTCTGGTATGCTGCCACCCTCACCAGAATGGATTTTAGGTGGTGCCAGCTTCTTCCATTCTTTTTCTTCCATCATATATCAAGAGCTGGTGTGTCTGAAGTCAGACAGTAAATTCTCCAACTTTGTTCTTCTTTATTGAGAGTGGTTTGAATGTTCTATGTTCTTTGCATTTCCATAGAAATCTAGAATCAGCTCTCAATTTCTCCAAAAAGCCTGATGGGATCCTTATTGGAATCATGTTGAATCTACAGATAAATTTGGGGAGAATTGACATTTAGTCAATACTGAGTCTTCTAATCCATGACCATGTTATAGCTCTCCATCTATTTAGACCTTTAATTTCTCCCAGGAATGTTTTGCAGTTTCCATTGTAGAGGTATTACATGCTATCTTAGTTTCAAAGTGGGTAGCTTAAACAGAAATTTATTGTCTCAGAGTTTTGGAAGTTAGAAGTCCAAATTCAGGGCATCAGCAGGACCATGTTCTCTCCGTATGCTCTGGGGGGAGATCTTTCTTTGTCTCCTCCAGCTTTTGGTAGCCCCAGATGTTTCTTGGAATTCCTTGGCTTTCAGATGCATTTTTACAAGGCATCTATCTTCCTGCTTTGTAACTCTGTCTTCATCTCTGTTCTCCCCCTTTATAAGACACCACTCAGAAGGGATTAAAACTCATCCAACTCCAGCATGATCTAGCTAATGGATAACGTCCCTGGATAGTGCAAATGGTTTGCAATTGACTAGTAACCTAAAAGGTTAGCAGTTCGAATCCACCCAGTGACACCACAAAAGAAAGGCCTGGCAATCTGCTTCTGTAAATACTACAGCCAAGAATCTTTACTGAAAATGGAGCATTTCTGCTCTGTAACAAATGGGGTTGCCATGAGTCAAACTCAACTAAATAGCAATAGGTTAGGTTTTTGGTATTTAACTTAACTGATACAGGGGTTAGAACTTCAACATATCTTCCTGGAGGACAAAATTCAATGCAAAATACGCCTTTTGTTAAATTTATTAAGTATTTTGGTTTCTGAAATTATTAAAGTGGAATTTTTTACACTTAAATTACTAATCATTTGCTGATCATATATAAAAATAAATTAATTTTTATATTAATCTTA